TTTGTTTCAACTATAATAAGATCCGCCTCTTCAACAAGGCAACGAGGAATAGCTTAGGATTATCAACCCTCCATTCTCCAAATATATGCTATGTAACTCGTTTGACTCAACAGTTACTTGAATACTATACCAACACTGCCTGGTTCCGATCGAAATAGCGTAATCACCGTAATTTACGATAAAGATATCGTTGTAACTTGGCCAAGCATTGCTGGCCTTGGAGAAGATAAGAACAGCTTAAGGAATCCTCGCAATGTTGCCACAGAGCAGAGAGGTACCTAAAGTCTTTGTCACAAGCAGAGCAGAAGTAAAGCCACCCGCCGTCAAGAGTATGCATGATGTATTTTTGGTTCTGGTAACACTCGCGAGCTACATCGTGAATATAGTCCTCAGCTGAGCTCGATTCGCAGTATCCTGATTCCAAATGGATCAGCATTCCGGAGATCGACTTGAACGTTTGGTTACATCGACGACCGTAACATTCTAGAATTCGAGGTTGGTGCTTTTGCTGGTGCTATATTGAATTATAATTATAATTTAGTTACTTAGAAGAGTCGCGGAGATTGAACATGCATACCATCCGTAAACTATTTTTGCTAGAGTAGTATTCATCACACTCCACACAAAGGTTATGGACGTCGACATCGTGGAGGCGTAGCTGCTCCTTGGAATTATGGTAAAGACCACAATCAACACAAAGGTGATGATAATCTATTTCATGGTCTTCAAGTTCATCCTCAGATATGAAGTCCGGTCTGTGAGCGCACAGCTGACAGATATAGTGTGCGTTTGATTGCCGAAGATGCTGAGCCTTGGCTGGTAGCGAAGGGAACACGCGAACACATCTTTCACACCAGCAGTGACGAGTGGTTTCTCTGCAGTGATGAAGCAATGCTCTTTCAGTAGAAAACTCCCGGTCACAGAGCAGACACATGTAATTTCCGACCTCAATGATTAGATGCGTTCTTGGGGTCATGGTGAGTGTGATAGGCCGAGTGTGTCCCGAATCGAGGTGTTTGATTGACAGCCAACAAATGCGGGGTCACTCTGAAGTACTTCCGACACATCACACTTGTACGCCTTTACCTGCATATGGTCAATGAATGCAGTTTGTTAGTTCGGAGAAGTGCAAGATTGGTGTGGTAGACAGCAGAATATGCCAGATGTCTGTAATTTATAGTCCTAGTATGGCATAGCTTATAATGGTGGTTACAGTTTACTGGCTATACTGAGTCTGGCACATCATAGGCTTTCTTAGCGTTAGGGCTTGTGAGCAAGTTGAGGATTTATGTCATGGACAATGTATTTTGGGAAGCGCTGTACTCCATACAGCCATGTTGCTATCAGAAGTGTTTCTAGATTTGAGAGGACTATCCCTGAAATCACCCACCTCACCTTAGTCTCGAATGACTGTAAAGCCCCTACGGTGAGGTACAGGATCATTTGGCGATTGTGCATAAACCGGCTAGTTGATACAGTGATATAACAACAATAAAAGGTTCGATAATGATCCCAGCTCATACCCAGACTAGACCTAGCCGGCTTTTAGACCGGAGAATGCACTATTTGTTAGAGGAGGTCAACTAGTCATATCACGAAATGAAAGGAAGCGAAGCACCAACCCAAACTACAGATACAAACAGGAGAGCACCACGTGAATTGAACCCAAAGATCAATCCTTCGGTTTACACCAAAGGGTTTTCTCGAAGAACCGCTGGCAAGTATGACCGAAGTCATGCTTACATGGTGACTGACTGACATCGTATGGCAACCTCTCATATGACGAAGTACCGACAATGAACTTCATCCCTTTTTCGGCAAAGAGCTTACTACCCTCCTTTGCGCCTTTACAGAAAGGCGCGCTGCCATTCCATTCGCATTCTGGATATTTGGCGCTTAGCCGACATTTGGCGAATGCGCCGGTGGCGAAGAGGAACAGGGCCCAGAGTTTGAGACTCATGTTTCTTTTAGGCAGAGGGGTGGGAGAGAACGGAGACGAGGGTATTATGACAGGTGGATAGATGTAGGTAGTTGAAACTGGATATTTCACTGAATCATCGGGGTTGTTCATGTTTATATATATGATATTGCTTCGATAGATTTAAGGAAATAACTCAATAATATCCTTTTCGCTGTATTTGGTCTTCAGAGGAGAGACTCAAAGAAAAGGTAAAGGAAGCGAGTGAGGTTTCTCTATACCTGGACAAGCCCGTAAAGTACTATATCCAAGATAACGGGCCCTTTGTGAAAGCTCCGCTTTATCTGCAGGCGGAATTCGCGTTGTTTTCAAAACAAAAGCGAGAGAACTGCATTGACCGTAGTAATAAAAGCCCGTCTCCTACAGTGCGATGAAGGCGTCTGCAACTGAAAAATAGAAGGGTTGTTCTTTCTTTCGTATAGGAGCATCAAAGAACGTCTGATACCAAAGATTCCATTGACACCAGCCTCTTTTAGGATCTCATTCACGAACCCTCCTTCATATGACACTTCAATGTGGGGTTGGTCATACTACTCTAGAGCTAGGTTTAGAAAGCTTTTGCATATAATAGCCTGTAATATATACGGTGTATAAATGCCGAGAGAGTCTTGTAAAGGAGAAGATCTAGCCTCGGCTCTTCATAACTAAAACGATCTGGATCACGACCGCCACGAATCTCATAGTGTTCGAGATACACAAATGCCCGGGAGTAAGGGCGAATAAACTCAATATAAGCCGCTAATCCTGAGTACCGAATGTATAGCAGTCGCTTCATCAACGAAGATTACCGCAGGGTCGAGATGAAGTTCCTCACACAAGGCCTGGTTAATAGCGTGACGTTGGAGCGGGGCCCAGGCAACCTCCCAAATAGAAATGTAATCCAGTTGCAAGTAGACATGTAAATATCACTGGTTATATTGACAATTGTACTCTCGTTGTAAGGGATGCGAGGGACGTAAAAGTCTGCGGCGTTATCATCTTACACGTCAGTTCGGTCCTCTTGGATGTTATTGGAGGCGGGACCTCCCTTTGGCGATTTCAGCACCATTATGTTGCAAGTAGTGTTAACCCGAAGAAACGAATATTTGAATTCCGTAGAAGAGCCTCGGATGCTTGGCGGAAAACGTGTGGTTTTCTGTATATGCGACTAGCACCCCACTTGGTAGCCATTTGTTGCGGGCCGGGGCAAGTCTAGACCAATGCTATTTACTAGGGCTTGCAGTACGTGTTCACCCTCAAAAAGCTGTTCACTGTGGATAGACCTACCTAAAAGGCCTTGTTGTGATGCATCGGGGAAGTTCCGAAGTCGTAAATAGCACACAGGAACTGTATGTATGCCTGTTCCACCTCGGAGATGATGCCGAGGTTGTTTTTCGTCAGTGACTATAACCGCAGACCTTGACAATCATTACTTGCTTGGTCCACAGATCAACAACACATGATCTTCTGCAGGATGGTAGAACGAATATTGGCCAGCAACCCACCAATTCGGTGGTACGTCCGAAGAGCCATCCCACCTGAGGATGGAGAAGAGTCTCCAATATGGCGAACTCGTCAAGTTCTCCAACTTTCGGCCTCCGAAGAAAGATATAAGTAGCTTCTGTATGACCATTCAAGAAATAACAAAAACAAGCTTAATCACAGTCATACCTAACTTCAAGATGGATATCTTCGACCGCAAACCCTACAACCATGCCATCCATACCAGCCCCGCCAACGACCTCCGTCTAGTAAAATCAGACATCCCCGAGATCCAACCCCATGAGTGTCTCGTCCATGTCCGTGCCACTGGAATCTGTGGCTCTGATGTACACTTCTGGAAACATGGCCACATCGGAGACATGGTCGTAACAGGGGACAACGGTCTAGGCCATGAAAGTGCAGGTGTAGTTCTCAAAGTCGGCAAGGATGTAACTCGGTTCAAGCCCGGTAAGTCATCTAAACAAACGCCTGTTTACCACTACCTACGGAAGGACTTATATACACTAACGAACACCAAACAGGCGACAAAGTCGCCATGGAATGCGGTGTCCCCTGCTCCAAACCCACCTGTTACTTCTGTCGAACCGGCCAATACAACGCCTGCCCGGACGTGGTCTTCTTCTCCACGCCTCCTCACCACGGCACCCTCCGACGATACCACGTCCACCCCGAGGCATGGCTGCACCATATCCCCGACAACATCTCTTTCGAAGAAGGTGCCCTTCTGGAACCCTTAACCGTTGCCCTAGCAGGAATCGACAGATCCGGGCTCCGCCTTGCCGATCCCCTGGTGATCTGCGGGGCAGGACCCATCGGTCTTGTTACTCTACTCGCCGCTAACGCAGCAGGCGCAGAACCCATCGTCATTACAGACTTGGATGAAGGCCGTCTTGCAAAGGCAAAGGAGCTAGTTCCCCGCGTGAGACCAGTGAAAGTCACGAGAGAAGACACTCCCAAGGCCCTGGCGGGCAGGATCGTCGAGACTCTAGGTCAAGAGGCAAAATTGGTCATTGAATGCACGGGTGTGGAGTCTAGTATCCATGCTGGAATATATGTAAGCTCGTCTTTCTCCTCTCCCCCCTTCCTCTCCCTCTCTCCATCACGCAAAACAAGTAAATAACCTAACCTCCCTGCCAAATAGTCCACCCGTTTCGGCGGCTCCGTCTTCGTGATCGGCGTCGGCAAGGATTTCCAAACCATCCCTTTCATGCATCTCTCCGCCAAAGAGATAGATCTCCGCTGGCAGTATAGGTATCACGATATCTACCCCAAGGCGATTAGTCTCGTCGCTGCAGGAATCATTGACTTGAAACCGTTGGTTTCGCATCGGTTTGCATTGGAGGATGGGATCAAGGCCTTTGAGACGGCGAGTAACCCTGCTTCTAAGGCTATTAAAGTACAGATTTTGGATGATTAGAACTTGTTTTTATTGAATATTCTCATGTTTAATAGAGTGAAAGTTGAATAAGTTGTTAGTTTTAGGGGAGGGGGTAGGGGTAAGATGTATAAAAATGAAGATGTGTTTAGTTCTTTTCATTCCTTCTTTTTTTTTTTTTTTTTTTTTCGTATGACTGGCTTTCCACAGGGTTAAATTAGAAGAGCCTCATATGTCTCCACCACGGCGTTCATCATCATTCCAGGTCGAGTCACTGTCAGAGAGAGAGCAGGCTCAAAATGTATAACCTAGTACTCACTAGTAGCCTCAATTAAGGACAGCCTCGAATTATTCTCGTGGGGGCCAAAAGCCGACCTAAAACCTCTATAAACACGGAAGGCAATATTGATTCTTCGAGATGCTAGGTTAGGATTGTCAGGTAGCTCGATCAAGCTTTAACCTTTGGGCCTATCAAATGTGGGTAGGCTGGTGATTATATAGTAATAATTTCAAAAGTCCAGATAATGATAGCGAGTATATCTCACACAGTTTCAAGGCACTGCCTTGAGCATATGGTTGTTTTGGTCCAGTGGTAGTGAGATATATTGTAGAGGCCTTTTCCGCTATGGGGCAAGTTATTTTTCGCAATATCAAGTATACAGCATACCACCATTCGCACAGATCACATCCCCAGTAACCCACCGCGATCTTTCCTCCGCCAAAAAGGTAATAATATCCGCAATATCCTGAGTCGTGCCGCATCGCTGACCGGCAGGTACCTTCTTATTCTGCTCTTCCATTCTGGCGAGATGGACTGGTCCGGCAGCTTGGTACATGTCGGTATCGACAGGGCCCGGGTTCACGGCATTGACTGTGACACCATACTTGTGACCCAACTCGGTAGCCCATACGCGGGTGAGGCCCTCAACGGCGGCTTTGGTGGCAGCGTAGACAGACTGTGTTGGGTAGCCGCCTCTTGCGGAAATCGACGAGAGATTAATGATGCGGCCACCACGGGGGATGTAAGGCAGAACGGCCTGGGTCATGAAGACCACGGCGCGGACGTTGATATCCATGAGCTTGTTATAGCTTTCAAGAGTTACTTCTTCTAGGGGTCTGTTGTCGCCCGCTCCGGCGTTGTTGACGAGGATATCGATTTGGGTGGTTTGAAAGGCAGACAAAACCGCGGAGACAAGGGTCGCCGGGGCATTGGTGTCGGCCAGATCGGCCTGTATGCCGAATGTTTCATAGCCGTCGTTTCGTAAGGACTCGACAAGAGATTCTGCAGCTGTGCGTGACGATGGGGAAACATAGTTGAATGCGACCTGTTCTTCGTAAGAACTCTATTGATGAACAAAGTAGGTATATCTGGGTAGTTGACATACCTTTGCTCCTTGTTCGCTTAAAGCACGAACTATTCCGGCTCCAATTCCTCTCGCACCGCCTGTGACTAGGGCAATCTTTCCTTTGAGGGACATGGTGTATAGGGCTTGTGATGTTCTTTGCTGAACTTAATGCTTGCTTGGGTAGGCCGTACTTTGAGGTGCGAACAAGTAGATAATCTAATACTTATATTCCTACTCCTAGTCGATTATTCATGCGGGATCCAGCGGTCCGAATAAAGACTTGTTTCACTCACACGATGCAACTTTCATATCCAAGAGGCTTGATAAAGATCCACAATAGGATAAGGTTTCTCGCTGCTATCTCCGAGCAGCTGATGTACAATGGTTTGGCGGGGTGTCCCTCAGTGGATACGAACTCGGACATATCGCCGAAGACGAACAACCTTCCCGACACAACGTGGGGAAGGAAGTAAGTCCAAGATATCGCCGGAGAACTAGTACTTACCCCGGACGGCTTCACCCCAGATTTTGTGAATTACTTCAAATCGTGGAGTATATATATCGCACGAAGCTCCGGCGAAGATGTAAGGATCTTTGTTGCGCAAAGTGACCAGGTCGAACAAAGTCAAAAATGTGGTCACTCCGACAAACGAGATTAATACGCCCACCAGCGGGGATTGATCCCTCTGCACCTCGGGAAAGGGATCCATGGTATGTATACAAACTGGCTGCATTTGTGTCCCTAGGGGCATTGCTATTTGGCTACGACCAAGGAGTGATGGGTGTTATTGTTGCCGACCAACGGTTCAAAGATTTAATGCATCCTAAGAATTCATGTATGTTCGATGCCATCAACTTCAATTTCATAGTGTGGGTATTCAATGATTGATCACAACTCAGGGGTAACCGGTGCTATCGTTTCAATGTACGATGTAGGCTGCTTCATTGGCGCCATGTCTACCGGTAGTCTTTCGGATCGGTATGGCCGTGAGAGGATGTTGGCTATTGCGAGTATCGTCTTTGTTATCGGTGCAGTCTTGCAAGCTGCGTCATACACGGTTGTCCAAATAGTAAACAGCCAGCGCTTTGCCTATCGATACCATGTTTCTGACAAACACACAGATAATTGGCCGTATCGTCTTAGGCTATGGTGTCGGAGGATGTGCGGCAGGGGTACCATTATATCAATCGGAGATCGCTCCTCCAACCCTCCGAGGAAGGTTGATTGGCATAGAGCAAATGGTTCTATGCACTGGTGAGTTGTGTGCGTTTTGGATGAACTATGGGTTCAACTACCTACCAACAAAAGATTGGTGGCGCATTCCCTTGGCGATCCAGATTCTCCCCGCTATTGTTCTGGGGATGGGCTGCTGGTTCTGGGTCTTGCCAAGTCCACGATGGCTTGTCACTCAGGACAGACATGACTGTGCTCGTGAGGTTCTAGTTAGATTACATGGCCCAGAGGCTGCAGCGACAGAACTCGAGCAGATCCAGGAAACAATGCGCCTGGAGAAACACACAAAAGCATCCTGGAGAGGAATGTTTAAAATCCCTATCCTGCGGCTAACTCTCCTTGGTTGTGGGATTCAAGGCTTCCAGCAAGTTACTGGGACAAATTCAATACTTTACTACACGCCGACATTATTCGAAAAGGGGGGTATCACCGATCCACGCACCGCAAACCTGGCGACAGGAGGTGTCGGGATCGCACAGTTCGTCAGTGCATGGATACCCATCTTCTTCTTTGACCGTCTGGGGCGCAAGGTATGGCTCCAGATCGGAACCGTAGGGATGATGTTGGCCATGGTCGGGATCGCAGTATTGCAATGGCGTGCGGGTGAGAGCCCTGGATCAAAGGGAAATTATGCCATCGTGGTCTTTCCCTATCTATTCTATATCTTCTTTAACATTAGCTGGGGTGTCGCAGCGTGGACATATCCGTCAGAAATATTCCCACTGTCCATGCGTGCGAAGGGCAACGCACTTGCAACATCCGCTAATTGGACCATGTGCTATATCGTTGCCCAGGCCTCGCCACCCGTTGCAGATGCGATCGGGTGGGGTCTGTACGTTGTTTATGCTGCTATATGCGTAATCGCTTTGGCTTTTGTCCGCTTTGCGTTAGGTGGGTGGATTTGGTTCGATCTGCAACCGATTATTTGATTGCTGACGGGGTATACAGTTGAGACAAGGAATCGGTTACTCGAGGATATGAATCGGCTTTTCGGCCTGGAAGACTATTTCGCAGAAGGTGAAGCTGCCGCTGCGGAGCAAATCTTTGTAGTGAAAGATGCATCGGTGGAGAATGTTGAAGAAAGTAATCATGTTGCAGGTCCGTCATAGGATGTTGTTATACCATGACTGCGTGACTGGAACCCGTACAACTGCCTCTTGTCCATCAAAAATGCTTCCCTTTGCGTAGTTCTCCATACAGCATAGCAACGAGCGATCTATGTTTTATAGAATAAACTGCCCGTTCAAATGGTATACTGTCCACCGTGTGCTACTATGCATATACTTTTAGTTAATGTGTCAGATAATTGCATACGTCAGTAATCGATGTGCCCGCATCGGCAAGTTGTTGGCTGAGCCCAGGGTCTCTAGACGGAAAGACGCAGAATATAGCCATAGCCAAGGTTCATGTGTTAAGCGGATGGTAGATCACATTGGCATCCATGGACTCGTTCCTGAATGTCCTTCTGAGCCCTCGAAGAAATTTTGAATCATGAAGCCTCCTGCCGCATCCAGGAGTTCCGCATTAGACATGCCTTGTGGATACCACGTAAAGCTATCCTCTAGCCCCATCGATAACGGGTTGTATATTGCTTGATTTTGAGCACCTGGCGGTGGGGCCCAAAGGGTACGAGAAGGGCGTGACAAGGCCGTTGTTGGATTCGGACTAGTATTTTGGGTTAAGTCAACAGCATGACCTTGTTCTACTTCATGTTAGTTATAAACCCTTGACAGCCGTGATGAAATATGAACAGGAAGAGGGGTAGGTATCATGTCTCACCGAGGAGCTTCTGTAATACATTCCGTGCGCGGAACGCCATATCATGTGATGACCCAAGACTCTCAAGGCAATCCACAGCCTGTTGGAGATGCCCCTTCCATGACGGAGACATTGTATGAGTGGGGCTATAGATGTAACAAGTGGCCTGCACAAAGCTCGCTGTGATCAACCAATATGTCGCATACCATGCGAGACCTCGTTTCCTACTATCCGTATGATTGAGGAATCCACATATAGACGTGACACATTCGTCAGCTGCAGCGAGGCATGACTTGATCGGGCCCTCTGATGTACTGATGGCTGATCGCGTAGCTATAGCTTCGAATAAAAAGGGCCGGTTGAGAACGATACGGAGGTGAAAAGACCTCCATAGAAGAACCCTCTTGGGCAACTCCAAATGTGGTTCCAGGTTGACATCTTGGTTGAAATAAGAGGGCAGGTCCTTCCACCAATTCCCGATACTCTCTTCGAGTTTCAAAGCTTTCTCATATCTTGGAACGTGGTGCGTAAGAAGCTCCACCTGAACGGCATTTGCAATCTTAGCTAGCTTCACTTGAGCAATTAGAGCAGATGTGATAGTGGGCCCAGGCTTGCACTCAGGCAAATGCTCCATGTCGACCGCAATATCCTGGTCATCCAGGTTTGCTGGGAGGCGAATATTCACTCCAACTAAGGACACTGCAGGCCTCCCGAGAGTCAGCTGAGCCCCGGAAACGAAAACAAACAGTGTCCACCAAACGCGTCGGCGGATCTCCATGGTAAAAGGTGATGTGCTTGGCATGCCGAACTCGCGGTGCAAGCCGATAGCAAGAGCCATGCTGAAGCCAATGCCAATAAGAATAAACCCCGCGTTAGGCTTATTGCGCTTTTGCAAATAATTAGCCATTATAACAATAGCTTGCACGTAGCTCAAAGACCCTTTCTCGAGGACATCCATCGTTAAATGTCTACGCGCTTCCTTGTAGAAAGGGATGTCACATTTAGTCGCATTTGAATCGCCAACGAATGCACCGATGGCGAGAACTGTATTATATAATAGCGGCCACGAACCGTCCCGCGGTTTAGCCAGGGCACCTATAGTAATGCCTTAGCAAATTTGATACATGGCAGGCTCGTGCACAAGGTTTACCTGATATTCGCGCACGAAAAGTCCCTTCATGTAAGATGGGATACGCGGGATGATAAAGAGCGAAATAGTCATCAATATAACGGCTAACTGTAGCCATTGACTGGGATCGCGCAGCGGGAAAATCATCCTCGTCCAATGACGAGGGAGTGTTTACGCTATTCAGTGGAAGGTACAGCGGAAGAGACTGTAGGAATTTCAACGCAGCTATGCCAGACTGTGGCCCTGTATATCCGGCCTTATGCGGGTCAGCAGTTAAAAAGCCCATACCGTCGATTGAGTTATCGAAGTCTTGAGATTCGTCAAATTCATAGTCCTCTGCATTGCTGTGTTCGGTGAAGTTTGTCGGCAGTTGCTCAGTATGGTGTTCCACCTCAGTACTGAGCTTGGTATCCTGGCTTGTATTTACCGGTGCTACCTGGCGGCTCTCTCGTACAGTTCGAAGTGCTTCTTGCAAATCCACTGTAGGGAGGTACGTCCTCCAGGCCTTTTCCATATCCTGCCAAAGTTGTTCATATTCTTGAAGACGCCTTGAGTACGTTATGTAAGTAAACATATCCCAGCCATTTAACGATTACAGACCGGGTAATACAATTCAAACTCGTGGCAGATAGCCTCACCTTTGCAGTGACGATAATTTTTGCGACGGAGACGAGTATCGGCATGCTTTTGCATCTCTGACACAATTGGAGCAAGTATCATCACCAGAACATCGAACTTTCCGCCGCTTACATTCGTCGCACGCAAAGGTTTTGCGTAATATTCGACGAGCTCTAACTGTATCACTCATCTTGCTGAGCCTATGCTTTTATTGCTTGTGACATATCGCATCGGTCAATTGCTCGGAGGGACGAGGCGACAGACACGGACACGGACATGGTGCGCGGGAAGCCGAGTACGAGCTAACCTGTTTCAGGTTAGGCTGTCTTCTCTCCACTGGGTGTCTACCTCAGGCCTTCAGGCATCCAAGAGCCAAAGTCAACTACGAATTAGGGTCATTCCACCAGGGCAGGAAAATGTACAATAAGTCTATCTATGTGCGCATCTTCGTGGATGTAGGTCCGTCAATTTAGGTGCCTACTCAACAGCCATTGTAAAGTCATAATTGATTCAGCAACTGTTCATTCAGGATACATCGCTCAACGCGTATCTTCCAGAGACAAGGTCTCGTCCCTCAACCCGGATTTAGGTCAACTATAACCCTAGTCGTATTCAGAGCCATTTGGCGAAAAGGAAAGACAAAGAAGAAGCCATTCTATAGTCCATCACATAGTATCGGTGGCTTTAAAGTTTGAAAGTCAAGGACGTCATGAGAGAGCAGCTATGTGTTGCTTCTGACCAAGGGCGAACTTGAGAACACTGCTCATCACCGGCAGCGCAGCTGATGGGGGGGCAGTCATTGGATGAGGGCTGAACGGAAAACCCACGCTTGGTGAACTCAGAGGGTTGGTGGAGGTCAGCGCATGAGACATCCCAGTAGACCTTATCGCCGCTCATTTCATACTCGAATTGTATGACATCGTTTGCTTTTAGGTCAGACTTTGTCGACATTTTTATGGAGATGCGGCCCCCTTTCGGATTCAAACGCCATATTTCTTCGTAAATGCCACCCCCGGCAGAAAGCGTATACATTCTGCTTTCTTTATCGGCCACTGACCAGGCATAAATTGGGGCGGATAGACTGTTGACAATCTGGACGACTCCGATACTGCGAGGTGAAATGTCATCAACGGGTTGACTGACAGCAGTGGAGATCAAGGTCATGAAGAAGGTAAAAATGGGGAGGAACAACATTTTCGCTGAAGATAGACGCACAGTTGTTATTTGCTATAAATTAACCAAGATAATATTCAGTAGCACCCGTTTCACAGATCCTAGAGTAAAGAAGTGAGAAGATTCTCAGTTAAAAAGCTCTAGAGGTACCTTATATTCTATACAGGGCCATCTCCTCTTAGTGAATTGTAAGCTATTTAGAATGGATAGTCACATTCCCAGCTCTAAAAATCCAGTCTATCAGCCCCCATTTGGTCATTTTGAGCGCCCTGCAACTTAATATCTTCTACGTATTCACTGTACGCCTCTTCGACGTGGAACCTTTGTACGATAGGTAAGGTTCCACTAGCTTCGTTCAATGGATCCCTTAATAATCTGAACTAGTGGAGGCCCTACCCCGGAACACCTTTGTGAAACAATAGCTTAGCATGGTGTGGACTATACCCATTCATCATCATTGTCAACAAAACAAAGAGGCCATACGGGTTCATGCTTCCTGATACCTTGAGAAAGGCAAAGCTATTTTATGTGTCAATGGCTTCTAAGGTACTACCAATTACATTGTAGTTTAAGTATACCTGAAAAGTGGCGTGATAAAACTGTGTATGAAAATTTCGCCTATTATTAACTGTACAGCAATAGTAACTGGCTTAGCATCCGATAATAAGATTCTATGACATCATTCTTTCTGTTTTTGCCCTCTCGCTTTTAATATCATTGAGCCTCATATCTATCAATTGGAATGTCTTCGACATGAACCCCGCGTTACTCTCAGCCGGCAAGTCCAACTCCTTCTCGATGTAGCCCACATAAGTAATATTGTTCACAATAAGTCCTGTAATAACAGTAATATAAATCTCATGCACTTCCATCAGACGCTTCAGGCCCAAGCCGTAACAGTATCACTCGCTGTAACAACAAGGGAAGCGACATGCTACCAGAACTGCGGTGAATCCAAACCGGGCATGATGTTGTAAAATCCAAGACACGATCCAAACTCGAGAACAATAGCATCGGGATTAATTTTATTTAGCTCATGTAGGATACCCAGTGACACCTCAACTACCTCAGTTGGGTCACCACTGGTGGTGGGTAACCCACCATCTGCGAAACCCAGAACTAGATCAGCCCCTGTAACAGACGAACAACGCAGTTCGCCCTTGGAGGCGACTCCAGATAATTTGGCACCTCTTTATCGTTAAAGAAGTCCTCGAGACACCTCCCCTCCCCCCACTATTCCGCTCTTGCTAACATAGGAGAGATATCCCCGGGGAAAGGTTTAGAGGGGATATCACAGCTGAAGACCTGAAAGGAACGCCGCTTTGAGAGGACGGCCCGGACAATATCTCCTTCCACTAAGGGGCTTATATGTCTGGAGGTGTCTTCTATCCTAGCCCATCAGTTCAGCGTGGATAGTATTTCCACTGCAATGACCTCTCCCTCGGTCGGCGCTATTATCGGCGTTACTATGACAACATCGTCCAGTCCTGCTCGCCGAAGCAGGGACAGTTTCTTAGAAAGACGGACACTCATAATAGCCGCAGGTGCTGAAAGATTGCTCGTTGAGTTATCCATCAAAACCTGTCACTTCAGTATGCCCTCCCTCGGCTGACCAGGTAGCGTTTTACTGCCAGTTGAGCATTATAACTCCATCAGCAGAGCCGTCTCAATGGTATTGACTAAAACTTCCCTAAAATAGCGTCCTCCATTAACTCCGACAGGGAGAAAGACAAAAATAGCCGAAGTCAACGTAGCAGCTCGTCAATTGCTGACACGCAATAGTAGTACCGGACAAGGTGCCCCTACAGGCAGACAATCTCTTCGCTTTTCTTCGCAATCTTCCAGTATCGCGACGGCACTTGGTGATAACTTGATAACCAATTGTTATTTCGACCAGCCATCTCGCCATTCCTCCAATTGCCTCACCTTTATGGGCTCATGAATAAAGAGCCGGTAGGAAAGGCTACAGTTGGGTTAACCTGCGGGTAAGGATAGTGAATGAGCTCTGTAACTATGTTGTTTCAAATTGTCACTTTGTGAAATGTGAATTCAGCTGGGAAAGGATTATCCTGTTTCTATTGGAACATGACCATATCACCGGGGTTAGGTCGTGTTGTACAGTCGCGAATCTTTCTTCTATTGTAGTATCATTTATAAGAATTGTCATTATCATCGTAATCCTTATTATTTTCCTATTTTTCCAACTGACATTGTTCGTCAAGTTGGTTGTTCGCTAATACTCAATAGTATTGGCCATCTGTTCAGCCATCAGTCCTCAATGAGTTGTAGAACGTAAAATCATTGTCTTTGGGGAAAGCTGTATTTATAATAGATATAACGAAAATTTTTCTGTGATGTATTCATCTTATTGTAAATCGCATGTGGCGGTACATTAACCTTGAGGCAATGCTAGGTGGATCTAGATATATAAATTTCGGGTAGTGCCAACAATACAAGATTGATAACTCCAAGGTTTCTTATCATGCAGCTCTTTTCATAATTACACACTTATATTTATCTAGAACTTTATACATAGGGATTACATACAAAGGATCAAATTGAAAAATTCGAAAAGATTCTTGATTTAGAAATCCCAGCTTAAACAGGACTCTTCATAAAAAAGCCCTTCCAGCCAGTGAAACATCATGAGGAGTGATGGCCTTAATACGTGAGGTTACGTCATTCCGGGAAAAATGGAAAAGGAAAAGAGAAGGCAGAGGAAATAAGAAGACTCAATATATTTCTATTCTCTAAAAGTCTATCTAACGTCTATGCAAATGGGCATATGGCTAGATGCAGGGAAATCAATCCCTGCAAGCAAGAGAACAAAGGCTAACCTTTAACAAAGAAAGAACACACGTTCATTGCGGATATCAAAATACGCTATCATTCAAACATGTTTTACACGTAGTGATTGGAATTCGTCAATCATTTTTTCAGGCCCAGGAGGTTGATGCTCTTAGGACGCTCAATGGGCAGGCCGAGGGCACGGTCCCAGATGAGCTGGACGAGAGGGCCCAGGGCACGGCTGACACCGAAGGTGACGGTGTAGTAGAGGGGCTGCTGGAATCCATAGTGGTAGAAGAGGACACCAGAGGCGGCGTCAACGTTGGGGTGAGGGTTCTTAGTCTAGTGTATCGTTAGCACAGGTAGCTTGGAAAAAGCCGACATGATCATTTACCTTTCCATGTTCCGTAAGCACACCAGGGGCGATTTCGGAGTTCTTCTTGACCAATTGGAAGACAGGGTTGGCCAGAACATCGGGGCGAGTGGCAGCAAAGTCCATGAGAGCCTCGAAACGGGGGTCAGGCTTGCGAAGGACACCATGACCGTAGCCAGGGACGACACGACCCGACTTCAGGGTGTCCCAGAGATAGGTACGGACATCCTCGTCAGTGAACTTGGTTCCGATCTTGTCCTGCATGGACAGGATCCACCGCAGGACTTCCTGGGCAGCAAGACCGTGCAGAGGTCCGGCAAGACCCAAAAGACCTGCGCTGTAGCTCAGGAAGGGGTCGCTCAGGGCGCTTCCAACCAAGTGGGTAGCGTGAGCGGACACGTTACCGCCCTCGTGGTCACCGTGCAGAGCCAGGTACAGACGCAGCAAATCGTGGAAGTCCTGGTTCTGTTGGCCACCTTTGCCGAGCAGCTCGGCGAAGTTGTAAGACCAATCCTGGGTCACGTCGAGAGCTTGGGTGCCGACAGCGTCGATCTCGTTGGGGCGGAAGACCAAGGCGGCGACACGGGGGATCTTGGCCAGCAAGGAGATGCTGTCATCAAATGTGGGTTCCCAGTAATCGGCCTTGTTTAGACCCTTTTCGTAGGCCTTGGCGAACTGCGACTCGGTGTTCAGGGCAGCGACGGCGATCGAGAGCTGCGTCATGGGGTGCATGTCGCGGGGGAAGGACTTGATGAGGTCCAGGATGTGCTGGGGGAGGTGGGACTTCTCGGCCAATTCGCGCGAGAAGGCGCGCACCTGGCTGGTTGAGGGAACCTGGCCCGTCAGGAGGAGCCAGAACATGGCTTCTGGCAACATCTCAGTGCCGGAAGTACCCTTGGGGAGCTCCTTCTGACAGTCCTTGATGGTCTTGCCGTGGAAGCGGATCCCCTCATCGGGATCGAGGACCGAGCCCTCCCAGAGCATCGACTTGAGACCACGCATGCCACCAATGACATTGGCAACCTTGACCTCACCAATCACCTCGTCACCCTGTTGTTTCACCTGCTGGAAGAGTTCACGTTTGGCGGGGATGACCGACTTCAGGGCGGACTTCAGATCGGGTTCCGCCGTCGCATAAGATCTACGAGAGGTATACTGAGCCAATAGACGTGAAGACTGTCACAATGGCTAGATTTAGTCTCTGCATTAGGGTGATACCAGTTGCGATCGGGAACTAACCTGAGCCAGCTTGGTAGCATGGCGGGTGGTTCGCATGGACATGGCCATGGTGTGTTTTTTTTATTTGTGGTGGAGAAAAGACCCGTAGAATTACACTCAACACAGGAACACAGGAAACCAGAACAGGCTTTGTGTCGAATTCTATCGGGGAGGACGATGGGAGTTTTTAAATTTTAGAGTGAAGGTACACAAGGAAGAGAAGAAAACAGCGAAAGGAGGGAGCACGAATTATACGCCGAGGGCCCCCCTTGCACTCCAGACCGATTTGATGGCCCGGTTGGCCGCGGAGGAACGGTGAAGGTGACAAGGAAGGTGCCGAGGCAATCCAACGGCTGCATGCGGAGAGTCCAACCAACACCCATCATATCTCTCGAGGTCTAATCACACCACTCCTTGCTCACGGTCGGATGGAAGGATGTAATTGTTAGTAATACATGGCTCTAACTAACTACTATATAAT